ATAAGTCAAGCCATTTAGCATGTAGGAGAAAATACAAATGTATAGAAAAGTTCAAAGGGTGACCACAAAATATCTTTTTACAAACCGAGGTACAGCGAAAAGGTATATATATATATATAAAAAAAAAAGTCTAATCAACCAAAACTTTCACAACCCCCATGCAGTACCTCTGTGGACCCTCTAGGGGTCGTGGACCCCCCTGTTGAAGGCTTCAGGTCTAAAAAACCTACAAGGCAGTGATAGAGTTGATTCCTTCCTGTCAATCCTCATCGCCATGCAGGGGACTAGAACATCTCGTTGGTCAGCCAGGCCAACAATTATCTTAACAACTCCCCCTTTTCAGAGGCACAGGCCAGTATCAGGTTTGTAGGCCAACAACGACCTCAACTACCTCTTCTTTTAGTTCATTTATCATGTGGTCTAAGCCATAACAAGGCTTTGTTGAGCTACTCTATAAAGCCCAAACTCAACGCTAATTCAGACATTTTGAATTGAGAAAGCTTCCTGCATGGGAAGTGAAACGTCTTCAAACTTGGAAAAACAAACTACATTTTTAAAACTTTTTTGGAACAAGCATGGTCGTTCTAAAAGCGTGGTCAGTTTCCAGCTTTGCAATGACTCATGGGACAAACCCCTGACCTGCAGCGCACGTGTTGACTCAAGGGCTCATACAAATGCATGTCACTCTCTTCCCATTAATTTGTAAACCACCAATCAGAAAACCATGCATTAATTATCAGTTCATATTCTGCAGCTGTTCTGGTAGTTTAATCTTACAAATCTTTAGCTTCTTGCTGTCTATGACGCAACTGAAACTGTTGTGACGTTTGCATACCGAACACAGGCGTGCTATCATTTAAAACGCTGTACATTAATGTTCAAAAATAGTTTATGTGAAACAGTTTTGTGGTTTTGATGAAGTCGCTTTTGTCTTTATTCAAGAACATGCAATGCTTTCAGAAAATAGCAGAGAAGGATGTTGTGGTCGGTTCAGACCAGTTCAAACCGGCTACAGGTTGAAAGGAGGCCACAGAAAAACAATGAAGGTCATTAGGACTCTTCAATCTAAAATAAAGAAGTTACTATAACGCCCCCAAATGTTCTGTAACATCTGAATGTTTGGTGCAACGAGAGATTAAGAGGGTTAAAAAAAACAAAACAACATCACCCTGAAGCGGCCTTGAGCAGCTCTGCACTCTGATAACAGCCGCCGCAGCGAGCGAGAGAGAGAATACTTTTATTCAATGTTTCTCTGTCTCATTCAGCGAGACAAAACAATCTTCTGGTTTTTTGACCTTTAATTAAGTGCTTCGGTATTTAAAATAATTCAAATTAAATCTAAATCCACAAAGGGAAATTTGTGAAAGTTGAGATAAAAAAAGCTGCCATTTTGACTTCTAAATTTATCAAGTCAGAGGACAAGGGAAGTTCAACCTTAAGATAAGGAATACTGTATCATCTCTACTGCTGCAGAAAGAAAAACCCTGAAAATACCATTGTGGGTGAAAAACTCAAACTGCATTATGTGTTAAACTTAATGGATTTGTGTTTAGTACCTCCAAATGAAAGTTGCTGGTTTTATTAGGATCTTGTAAAATGAACACAATAGGACACATCAGTTTATGCTACTTGTGATACACATCACTACATGTGATAGTATGCTTTTGAAATCTGCTTTAAGGAAATGGTGTGTGGTCAGAGAGGAGTCACATGATCCTCTTCTAGATTTAACCCTTCATAGTTCTGGCTTGTGGTGTTTTGTGCCAAAACGGGAAACGC